GCCAGATGTGGTAGTGCATGCCTGTAGTTCCAGCTACTTGGAAGGCTGAGGTGGAAGGATCGCCAGAGTTCAGCAGGTCAAGGCTGTGGTGGCCAGAAGCGGCCACTGCACTCCATTCTGGGCGACAGAGTGAGACTCCTACTCAAAAAAAAAAAAAAAAAGAAGAAAAAAAATGAACTTTTAGGTCAAATACAATACTACAGATTTGTGTTTATAATAGCACATAAAAGTTTATTCTTTTATTTGTTTGTTTTGAGTTGGAGTCTCACTCCATCGCCCAGACTGCAGTGCAGTGGCCACTCCTGGCCACCGCAGCCTCAACCTGCTGGGCTCTGGCGACCCTTCCGCCTCAGCCTTCCGAGTAGTTGGAACTACAGATGTGTGCTACCCACCTGGCTAATTTTTGATTTTATGTAGAGATGAGGGCTCACCTAGTTGCCCAGGCGGGTCACGAACCCACGGGCTCAGGCAATCCACTCACCTCAGCCTCCCAAAGTGCTGGGATTACAGGCTGAGCCACCGAGCCCGGCTAGTCTTTTATTAAAATGCTAAAATATAATTCTTAACTTTTTTTATGGAAGAAGGAGCCCACAAAGGCATAAGTGCCCGGAGCATGGATGTCCTATGCAGTCCTGCAAGGAAGTCTGGCTTTTGGGGTACCTGCCTTTTGGGGTACCTGCCTCCCCTCCATCTCTCCTCCTCCTGCAAACTACACTGTTGCTGCGGCTGTTTGGAGGCCGCTCCTACAGGAAGCCCTCCATGCTTACTCCAGCCCCAACCGGTGGAAGCCCTTGGTAACAGCTTAGAATTGGTGTTCTCACTCCACCAGGGGTCCCACGGGTGGGAAGCCCTTGGTATCTGTTTAGCATCGATGTCCTCATGCCTCCAGAGATCTATGGGCCCAGGGGCGCTGCCAGGACCAATTTGTGAGACTCAATTCAGATTTAAATGTGGGAGCTTTGGCTCAAAAATTGTGAAGAATTGGGAAAGGCAAGAGAGAGCATCAAACCAAGCCGTCCCGGCTGTACCCCCGCGCGCCTGGCACCGAGAAAGGCCCACAGTCCCCGTGGGTGGGGGGAGGGTAGGGAGGCGAGCTGGGCAGTGCAGAAGGACCGCAGGGTGGATCGCGCAGCACCGCCAGCAGACTCACTAGGTGCTCCCTGGCGAAGGTGCAGGCGACAGCGGCGGGGCCGAAGGCGACGCGGCACTGCTCCTCGACGCTGTAGTAGAGGCCAGGCTGCGCCTCTTGCCGGTGCCCCGTGGGCCGGGGCCGGGGCCGGGGCCGCGGCGGGTCCCACACACAGCGCGCCC